TTTTAATTTTATAATCATCTTGAAATATTATTAAGTAGTTTAATCCATTTTTTTAATGATGAAATTGCTCTTTCAAGAACATCTTTCACTAAGTTATTATGTTTATATCTTAACATCACATTTTTTAATATTTTTAGTTGCATTATCATTTCATTCATGATATTTGGGTAATTGTTAATACCAAAATAATAATAATAATAATACTTGGGTAATTAGATCAAACTTATCATAATTTCTTCTTCTTTCTCTAGAAATTAGGAAGTATTAATTAATGGAACGAGTTATCAATAGGAAAATTAATTAAGGATGATAAGTATAATATTTAAAAATAATAATAAAAAATAAAACAAACAGGTCAACCCGTCAACTCACGGGTTGATCCTAACCTGACCCGTGACCCGTACGAGTTGATAATACGGGTTATCTACGGGTTACGGGTTGAAATATGTAGACCCTAACCCGTTTTTTAAGGGTCGAGTTAGGGTCGGGTTGACAGGTCGAGTGGCTTTTTGCCAAGTCTAATTTGCAGTCTTTTCTTTAATGATACTGACAGGAACAGGTTCAATAAATTCCAGGAAAATATGGAGTTCAATATGGAAAAAAAAGGGGGGTGCATGCTCCCTTCATGATGCAAATACAGATTCAGATTGACTTGTGTTGCTCAATCTGATACATGTAATTGTTGTCTGTTAGGCAAAAATGGACCAAATTGATCTGGCGGCGAAGTTGAAAAGTAAAGGGGCTTAAATGCCACTAAAAATATTGCGAGGCTTATTTTGTCAGTTTAAACCACAAAAACATGTTTTGCAATTCGGATTTCATTCAAATCTCAGGAGTAAAATGCAATTTTTAACAAAACAATCATTGTAAGAAAAATGTTAATTTATCAGAAAGAAAAAATATTAAACAGATTAAATTATTTTTATTTGTATAATACTTATTTTTACTGATGGTTCTTATTGGGGGTAATATTGAGTAATGATAGATTGGATTTTAATCATATAATTTATATTATATTATTAAATTAATTAACCTATTTAATATTATAGGATTTAAAAAATAA